CAATACTCTTTAAATTGTTCCACACAATAGAAACAGAAGGAACGTTACCAAACTCCTTCTATGAGGCTACAATTACCCTGATTCCCAAGCCAAACAAAGATGCAGCAAAGAAAAAGAACTACAGACCATTCTCCCTCATGAACATTAATGCAAAAAAAATACTCAATAAAATATTGGCAAACAGACTCCAAGAACATGTCACAACAATTATCCACCATGATCAAGTAGGCTTCATCCCAGGGATGCAAGGGTGGTTGAACATATGAAAGTCTGTCAATGTAATACACCATATAAACAAAGTGAAAGAAAAAACCACATGATCATCTCACTAGATGCTGAAAGGGCCTTTGACAAAATCCAACACCCCTTCATGATAAAGGTCTTGGAGTGATCAGGAATACAGGGAACATACCCAAACATAATTAAGGCAATTTATAGCAAGCCAACAGGCAACCAAAGTAATTCCACTCAAAGTGATTCCACTAAAAGCAGGAACAAGACAAAGCTGTCTGCTCTCCCCACTTATTCAATATAGTACTTGAAGTTCTAGCCAGAGCAATAAGACAACATAAGAAGATCAAGGGGATACAAATTGGAAAGGAAGAGGTCAAGCTTTCACTATTCACAGATGACATGATAGTATACATAAGTGACCCCAAAAATTCAACCAAGGAACTCATACAGCTTATAAACACCTTCAGCAATGTAACAGGATGCAAGATTAACTCAAAAAAATCAGTAGCCCTCTATATACAAATGACAAATGGTCTAAGAAAAAAATCAGAGATACATCATCCTTTACTGTAGCTGGAGAGTTTTCTCTCTGGGTCCCACCAAACCCAGGCAGTCAGACAGCCCACTTATAAAATAAGCACACAGATGATTATATTATTTAAACTATTTGGCCTAATGGCTCAGGCTTCTAGCTATCTAGTTCTTACATCTTAAATTAATCCATTTCTATAAGTCTATGCCTTGCCACATGGCTCGTGGCTTACCGGCATCTTCACATACTGCTTGTCATGGTGGTGGCTGGCAGTGTCTCTCTCCACCTTCCTGTTCTCTCAATTCTCCTCTCTGTTAGTCCCACCTATACTTCCTGCCTGGCCACTGGCCAGTCAGTGTTTTATTTATTGACCAATCAGAGCAACACATTTGACATACAGACCATCCCACAGCACTTTACAATGATATAAAATAACTTGGGGTAACTCTGACTAAGCTAGTGAAGGACCTGTATGACAAGAACTTTAAGTCCCTAAAAAAAGAAATTGAAGAAAATGTCAGAAAATGGAAAGATCTCCCATGCTCATGGATGGGCAGGATTAACATAGTAAAAATGGCAATCTTACCAAAAGCAATGTACAGATTCAATGCAATCCAATCAAAATCCCAACACAGACCTGGAAAGAACAATACTCAATTTCATATGGAAAAACAAAACACTCAGGATAGCCAAAAGAATCCTATACAATAAAACAACCTCTGGAGGCATCACCATCTCTGACTTCAAGCTCTACTATAGAGCTACAGTAATAAAAACAGCTTGGTACTGGCATAAAAACTGACATGTAGACCAATGGAACTGAACTGAAGACCCTGACATTAATCCAAACACCTATGAACACCTGATTTTCGACAAAGAAGCCAAAACTATACAATGGGGATAAAAGCATCTTCAATAAATGGTGCAGGCATAACTGGATGTCAACATGTAGAAGACTGCAAATAGATCCATATCTGTCACCGTGCACAAAACTTAAGTCCAAGTGAATCAAAGACCTCAACGTAAATCCAGTTACTCTGGACCTGATAGAAGAGAAAGTAGGAAGTAGTCTTGAATGAATTGACACCAGAGATCACTTCCTAAATATAACACCAGTAGCACAGACACTGAGAGAAACAATTAATAAATGGGACCTCTTGAAACTGAGAAGCTTTTGTAGTGCAAAGGACACAGTCAATAAGACAAAATGACAGCCTACAGAATGAGAAAAGATCTTCACCAACCCCACATCTGACAGAGGGCTGATATCCAGAATATATAAAGAACTCAAGAAATTAGACATCAAAATACCCAACAGTCCAATTTAAAAATGGGCTATAGAGCTAAACAGAGAATTCTCAACATAAGAAGCTCAAATGGCTGAAAGACATTTAAGGAATTGCTCAACATCCTTAGTCATCAGGGAAATGCAAATCAAAACGACTCTGAGATACTACCTTACACATGTCAGAATGGCTATGATCAAAAACACTGAAGACACCTTATGTTGGAGAAGATGTGGAGCAAGGGGAACACTTCTACACTGCTGGAGGGGATGCAAACTTGTACAAGCTCTCTGGAAATCAATATGGTGCTTTCTTAGAAAATAGGGAATCAACCTCCCTCAAGACCCAGCTATACCAACCACTCTTGGACATATACCCAAGTAGTGCTCAATTATACCACAAGGACACATGCTCAATTATATTCATAGCAGCATTATTTGTAATAGTCAGAACCTGGAAACAACCTAGATGCCCTTCAACTGAAGAATGGATAAACAAAATGTGCACATAAACACAATGGAGTACTACTCAGCAGAGAAAAACAATGACATCATGAAATTTGCCGGCAAATGGATGGAATTAGAAAAAAATCATCCTGAGTGAGATAACCCAGACTCAAAAAGACATACATGGTATGTACTCACTCATAAATGGATACTAGATGTAAAGCAAAGAATAACCAGACTGCAACTCACAACTTCAGGGAGGCTACCTAGTAAAGAAAGACACAGGGATCACCCAATGACAGAGAAATAGATGAGATCTACATGAGCAAACTGAGAGAAGGAGGTAAAGAAGGGTTGGGGGAAAGAGAGCTTAGGGGAGAGGGAGGTCCCAGCTGGATCAGGAGCAGAGTGGGAGAACAAGGAAAAAGAGACCATGATGAATGAAGACCCCAGGGGAATAGGAAGAAGCAGAGTGCTAGAGAGGTCCCCCAGAAATCCACAAAGATACCTCCACTGTAGACTACTGGCAATGGTTGAGAGAGTGCCTGAGTTGACCTGTTCTGGTGATCAGATGGCCGAACACCCTGGCTGTCATGATAGAAATCTCATCCAGTGTCTGATGGAAGTGGATGCAGAAGTCCATGGCCAAGCCCCAGGTGGAGCTCAGGGAGACCAACCGGCAAGAGAGAAGAAGGATTATATGAGCGAGAAATATTGAGACCATGGTTTGAGGAAGCACAGGGACAAACAGCCAAACTAGTGGAAGCGCATGAACTGTGAACCAACGGCTGAGGAGCCCCCATGGAACTGGACCAGGCCCTCTGGTTAAGTGAGACAGTTGATTAGCTTGAACTGTTTGGGAGGCCCCCAGGCAGTGGAGCCAGGACCTGTCCTTGGTGCATGAGCTGGCTTTTTGGAGCCCGGGGCCTATGCTGGGACACTTTGCTCAGCCTTGGTGTAGGGAGGAGGGGACTGGACCTGCCTGGGCTGAGTCTGCCAAACTGGGCTGACTCCCCAGGGGAGACCTTGCCTTGGAGGAGGTGGGAGTGGGGAGTTGATTGGTGGAGAGGGCTGGCAGGTGGGAGGAGTGAGGAAGGGTGAATCCGTGGCTGATATGTGAAATTAAGTTAATTATAAAATAAAAATACTATTTAAAAAAGAAAAAAAAGAAAAGTCTTTTTATGCTGTTGTGGTTATTTTTTTCAATTTCTCTAATTATGTTGGGATTTTGATGGAGATTACATTGAATCTATAGATTGCTTTTGGAATGTTCCAGTTTATTTCTGCCAGATGCTGTCTTAACCAGTAAACTAATAGGTGTTTATTTAGAAAGAAGGGAATGAGAACTCACTGCCATCCAAAGCCTTCATAAAGTTACTTCTGTAGTTCTCACTATGCATGAGACTGACTCAGCATTCTTTCTCTTTCAGTTTGGGCTGAAAAATGTCTTCACCCAGAGGTAAATGACTTTTAATATTTATATTGAATAATCACATATTGCTTGAATTCCAAAACATCAATTAAATATCTCATTTCAAAATTCATTCAGCTGAGGGATTATTCACATCCAATCTGCAAACCTGAGTCTCAACCACACCCATCCCAACCAGGTAAATGTTGTAAGCCACCTTCTTCTGATCAATGCCTGTTAGTACCTTTCAAATGCACACAGACTTCCTGATGCCCATTATATCTTGATGATAGTGGTGACAGAGTTCAACATAAGCAATGTCATCTCACTGGCATACATGCTTCAAAACATTCACAAGGACAAAATAAATTATTAGTAAATGTAAGCACAGCTTCAATGTTTAATATTCAGATTCAATCACTTGAACCTTTCCAATGTGCAATCCCTTTGTTTTAGTGACTTCTAGAAGTCAATCATGAGACTAATGTGACTTCCCCAAAGTTTGAACATCATTTCTGGACACCTGGGTCTCAGAATGCACACCTATAGAAAAGCTTCGAGAAAGACCATAGCAGAGACATATTTGAGCTCAGAGATTCTGTTATGGGCTGGACAAACAATATACCACATCTTCAAAAAAGAAAAATCAATTTTTGTGTTATTAATAACTCATAGTGCTCTGCTTCCCTTCATCTGTAGTGCACTGTAATTTATTTACAAGGAATAGGAATGGGATTTTAAACCATATCTATAATCTATTAAAATAAATTAGGACACACTCTCATATGGCAGAGCAGTCATTGAAAATCCCATTACTTAGATGCACATCTTACTTGCTTCTAAATCTTTTCCTTTCTCTGTAGTCTATTGTCTGAAACTAAATCTCTCTGTGTCACAACAGGCATTATGTCAGTAAAGAAACCATGTCTGGAATGGCTTACTTACTTTCAAAACCTAAAGTCAAAACCTATCAGAATCACACAAAGTAATTAAAAGAAAACAGGACGGCGGAGCCTTGGCGGCAGCGCTCCGTGCCTTCGGAGAGCATCCTAGCCGCTAGCAGCGGCCCTCCACCCTCGGCTGTCCGCGCCCCTTCAGCTCGCTCTTTCGTCCTCCTTCCCTGAGGCCCTCTGCGCCATGGCCTTGGCATTGGCGGCGCTGGCGGCTGTGGAGCCGGCTTGCGGCAGCGGGTCCCACCAGTTGCAGAATGAAGAGGAGCCGGGGGAACCCCAGCAGACTGCAGGTGATGCTCCTCCACCACACAGCAGCATTTCTGCGGAGAGTGCAGCATATTTTGACTACAAAGGCGAATCTGGGTTTCCAAAGCCCCCATCTTACAACGTGGCTACAACTCTGCCCAGTGTTGAGGCTGAGAGAACCAAGACTGAGGCCACGATCCCATTGGTTGCTGGAAGAGATGAAGATTTTGTGGGTTGGGATGATTTTGATGTTACTGACCAGCTGAGGATAGGAAACGATGGGATTTTTATGTTAACTTTTTTCATGGTATTCCTCTTCAACTGGATTGGGTTTTTCTTGTCTTTTTGCCTGACCACCTCGGCTGCGGGAAGGTGTGGGGCCACCTCAGGATTTGGTCTCTCTCTAATTAAGTGGATCCTTATTGTCAGGTTTTCCACCTATTTCCCTGGATACTTTGATGGCCAGTACTGGCTCTGGTGGGTGTTCTTGGTTTTAGGCTTTCTCTTGTTTCTCCGAGGATTTATCAATTATGCAAAAGTTCGGAAGATGCCAGAAACTTTCTCATTCTCCCGAGGACCAGAGTTCTCTTTATTTATTGAAGATGTTTTCTGGCAAAGGCCTTCATGCACTGATGAAGTCCTTCGAGAAGCAAAAGAGCATCTGCAGGAAGTGAATCACCACCAGAGTGGAGGGACAGTCACCTGCTTTAAAAAAATAAAGTACTGTTGAAAAAGATCATTTCTCTCTACTTGTTCCTAGGTGTATAATGTTAATAGTTAAAGCAGAATTCTAGTGGTTAATGTTGGAAAAGCTCTTGCAATCAAGTCTGTGATGTATGATTAATAATGCCTTATATATGGTTTGTAGTCATTTTAAATAGCATGAGCCATGTCCCTGTAGTCAGTAGGGGGCAATCTTGCTTTTTTCCTTCTCCATCTCAAAGCAGATTTGAAATTACAGATTAGTGTAAGCTATGCATAAGGCTGGCTGTTTGAAAAGGGTTTTCTCAAAAGTCAAAACTTTGGTTATGAGTGCATTTCTGCATGTAATCCATATTTCCTGTTCAAATTAACCTAGAAATATGTTTAATTGTACTGTGTGTGAACATCTGGATGCAAAACCATAGTGCAAAGTTCATTGTAGTGTTAACAAAAAAAATGTTCTCAATTGGTGAATAAGCATTAATTTTTCATAGTCTATATTCAGAAATTACCTTTTCATTCTGTAGTTCTGTGTACAAAGGAATTTTGAAGGTGTTTGTCATTACATAAAATGGAAAGGGCAAAGACAGATTCAGATTAAATACTAAACGTTACTCTGAAAACTGTGGCTAGAATCCCAGAGGGTCAGGAACCGAGAATTAGTGTGGAAGTTTTGAGAGGATCCCTAACGTTCTGTACTCCTTGCTTTTACAGCTGTTATAACTGTAGAACGATGTGTTTGCTGCCCAACTGCTAGCTACTTTAGTTGCTATATTAAACTGTAAATACAACAGAACATTAACAAATGTCTCATGTGTAGCCAAAAAAAAAGAAAAGAAAAGAAAACAGGAAACCAAAAAAAGTTCCTACATGTCAAGGAGGAAAAACTGATACAACTGTAACAAAGTGGGTTCAAGTTTAAGTGGCAAAGAAGAGTTTAAGCATTATCTTGACCCAGGGCAGCCACAATGACAGCAATACCCGTTTATATTGGGGAAAAAAAAGGATGTACAGTACAGAATGACTCCATGTGACAGAATTAGTCATAAAAGAGTAATTTGTCAGTGCAGAGTGAAAGTGTGTTATCCTATTCACAGAAAAATGTGTGGTAAACCAAGTACAAGTTTGATGTAATGAACAGTGAGTTATTTTTAATATTTATTTATTTATTGTGCATACAGTGTTCTGCCTGCATCACTGCAGGCCAGAAGAGGGCACCAGATTTCATTACAGATGGTTATAAACCATCATGTGGTTGCTGGGAATTGAACTCAGGACCTCTAAAAGAACAGCCAGTGCTCTTAACCTCTGAGCCATCTCTCCAGACCGAAGAGTGAGTTATTTAAAGTTACTCTTGCAAGGCAAGAATAGTTTACAAGTTTGATGTGTTATTTTCCCACATTGTCTTCATATGTGGATGAAAGCATATATGTTGTTTATGAGTTTCCTGACAAATCATATAAAGCATGTATGACTCAAAACTGGCCAATATGTAGTATATGTCCAAGTGTTGATTTGTCTACAATTACAAGTTTTCTTGAGGATGTAAATATATACCTATACTATGTGGTTAATTGAAATAAATGTAAAAATAAATCCTTAACTTTAAATTATTTCTATTTTTATAGAGTATTATTTTTGCCTAATTGTTGTTCATATTTTTATGTAAAGGATATAAATTTTTCAGAAAGGCTAGAAGAAGAAATAACAGAATGTAAACTGAGAAATGAGAGTTTTGATGAGTGCAGAAAATCAAGAATTTGTACGTAAAATTTAAATTTAAATTTCTCATTTCCTATTGTTCGCATCAATGATTTTGCCATAGACCCACATGCTACATTTTAAATCACCTTATTCAGTCAAAAAATTAATAATTTAATATTAAAATTAAAGCATTTAATCTATCCTTTATTATAGAATATTCTTAGAATCCCATGACACAGCTAAGTATTTCCTTTGATGTATAGTAAGTAAATGTCTGAAAATTGTAATTGCTCCATTTTTAATGTATTTACACACCTGGGTAAAGATAAGACTCAATGTGAATATCATGGATCAGCTTTTGAAGTAATAATGCATTCTTTGTATATTCTACATACCCTCTCCTGTGTACAATGTGTAAAGACTTTTAACCATTCTTCCATGTTGCCTTATCAATCAAATTATGGTGTCCTTTGCTGCACAGAAGATTTTTAGTTTCATGGGGTACCATTTATAACTTTGGCAATTACTTGTTCATAGTGTTTGTACCATTGACCTGCTCAGAAAGTATTTAGCTTTGCAAATGAGTTAATCATTAATCTGTACCCTTCAGGCCTTATATTGCATTATCTGGATCATTGGAAGTTGAGTTTTGTGCAGAGTGAGAGATAAGGATCTAATTTCATTCATCCACCTGCATCTGTCCAATATGACCGGCACCATTTGTTTTCTACAGTGTGAACTGCTGGCCTCTTTTACAAAAATCAAGTGACTGTAGGACTGTGGACTTATTTGTGGGTCATCAGTTTTCTCCCACCAACCAGAATGTTTGTTGGGGGGCCACTGCCATGCTCTATTTATTTCTACAACAAGGTGTTTTAACTTGAAATCTGGAATGGTGATGCTTCCATCAGTTTTGGTTTTTGTTCTTCTTGTTTTGCTTTGTTTTTGTTCCATGGTTTGAAATTGTTTTGCTATTTTTGGTCTTTTATGTTTCCATCTGGAATTTAAAGATTCTTTTTCATTTTCTGTGAACATTGCACTGAAAATTTTATGAGGATCATGTGGTGTACATAGATTGCTTCTATTAGGATGACCAGTTTCACAATATTAACCCTACAATAATGATCATAGAAGATCTTTGCAAGTTATGGTAACATCTTTAGTTTCTTATTTTCACTGTCTTACAACTTTCTTTGTAAAAGTTTCACTTTTTTGATGACATTTATTCTAATTCATTACACTATGAGGAGATTTTGAATGGCATAGTTTTCTTGGTTTCATTCACAGTATGTGCAGTGTTTCTTTTTAGGTAGGCTACTGATTTGGAGGCTCATATTGGAACCTGTTACTTTGCTAAATGTATTTATCAACCATTGGAGTTTTCTGGGCAAAAAACAAGTTACTTCTTTTCTAGAATCATATTGCTTACAAATGAAAATAGTTTCACCTCTTCATTCCATTCTTGTATCTTCTCTTGTCTTACTCCTCTAGTCAAGACTTCTAGTACTATATTGAACAGGAGGAGGAAGAATGGTCATCCGTGTCATGTTCCTGATTTTAGAAGGAATGATTTGAGTGTTAACGATATGTTAGCTGTGTGTGTGCATTTTATTGTCTTCATTATGTTGTGATATGCCCCCTTTCATTCTTAGATTCTCTGGGATTTTTATCATAAAGTGATGATGGATATTGTCAAAGACGCTTTCTGTGTCTAATGACATAATCACATGGTATTTGTCCTTGAGTCTCTTTCTGTAATGGATGCTGTGAAAGGGCTATCCTCTGAATTAAATTCATTAGAAAAGTTTTTCCTATCTTATTGATTTATGCCCTCAGTTTGATTATTTCCTGCAGTCTACTCTTCTTGGGTGTGTTTTTTCCAGAGCTTTCAAGTGTTCTCTTAAGTCTCTAGTATGAGATCTCTCATAATTCTTTATGCAGGACTTAGTGCTATGAACTTTCCTTTTAGCACCGCTTTAATGTGTCCATACATGTGGATATGTTGTGCATTCATTTTTATTGAATTTGAGGAAGTCTTTAACTTCTCTCTTATCTCTGTCTTGACCCAGTCATAATTCACTAGAGTTGTTCTGTTTCCATGAATTTGTAGGCTTTCTGTTGTTTCTGTTGTTGGTGAAATCCATCTTTAATCCATGGTGGTCTGATAGGATGCAGGGGTGTATTTCAATTTATTATCTGATAAGACTTGCTTTGTGACCAAATATGTTGTCAATTTGAATAGTGTTCCATGAGACGTATCTTCTTTTGTGTTTGGATGAAATTGTCTCAGGAGTTCTGTTGGGTCCATGTTAGTCATAATGTCTGTTAGCTCTAGTATTTTGCCATGGAATGGAATTAAAGACTCACTTGTAAATTCACAAACCTATGGACATTGAATTTCAACCAAGAAGCCAAAATAATACAATGGAAAAAAGAAAGCATCTTCAACAAATGGTTCTGCTATAACTGAATGTTGACATGGAGAAGAATGCAGATAGATTCTTATCTATCATCCTGCACAAAACTCAAATCCAAGTGGATCAAAGACCTCAACATAAATCTAGATACACTGAACTTGATAGAAGAGAAAGTGAGAAATAGTCTTGAATCCATTGGCACAGGAGACAACTTTCTGAATAGAACAATAGAACAGATTCAAAAGTCAATAATTAACAAATGGAACCTCATGAAACTGAAAATATTTTTTTAAAGTTTTTAAAACATTTTTTTTATTTTACAATACCATTCAGTTCCACATAATAGCCACAGATTCCCATGCTCTCCCCCCCGTCCCCCCTCCCCCTCCCCCCAGCCCACCCCCCATTCCCACCTCCTCCAGATCAAGGTCTCCCCCGATGACCGGGATCGACCTGATAGACTCAGTCCAGGCAGGTCCAGTCGCCCCCTCCCAGACCGAGCCAAGCGTCCCTGCATAAGTCCCAGGATTCAAACAGCCAACTCATGCAACGAGCCTAGGACCCGGCACCACCGCCCAGCTGCCTCCCAAACAGATCAAGCCAAATAACTGTCTCACCCATTCAGAGGGCCTGACCCAGTTGGGGGCCCCTCAGCCTTTGGTTCATAGTTCATGTGCTTCCATTCATTTGGTTATTTGTCCCTGTGCTTTATCCAACCTTGGCTTCAACAATTCTCGCTCATATAAACCCTCCTCCGCAAAAGACTGCTGGCAATGGTCGAGAGATGGCCGGGACTGACCTACTCTGGTGATGGGATGGGCAAACACCCTGATAGTTGTGCCATAAACCCCATCCAAGGACTGAGGAATCTGGATGCAGACATCCATGGCTGGGCCCCTGGTGGAGCGCTGGGAGTCTAATTAGTGAAACTGAAAATATTTTATAAGGCCAAGGGCACCATCAATGGGATGAAATGCCAGCCTGCAGAATGGGATGAGATCTTCACCAACCTCACTTCTGACAGAGATAAAATTTCCAAAATATATAAACACTCAGGAAATTAGATATCAAAAAACCAAATAATTCAGTTAAAAATGGGATACAGATCTAATCAGAGTAGTCTCCACAGAAGAATCTCAAAAGGTCAAGAAACAGTTACTATGAGAATCTATCTTACACCTATCAAGATGGCTAAGATCTAAAACAAAAGTGACAGGTCATGATGGAGAAGATGTGGAAGAAGAGAAACATTTCTTTCTTGCTGGTGAGAACTTTTACAACCACTTTGGACATCACTATGGAGATTTCTCAGAAAATTAAGAATCTATCTACCTCAAGACTCAGCTATAACATTCTTGGGCATATACCAAAGCATGCTTAATCATACTACAAGGACTCTTTCTCAACTATGATCAGAGCAGCTTTTTTCATGATAGCCTAGACCTGGATACAAACTAGATGTCCAGTAACACAAGAAAGGATATGGAAAATATGATACATTTATATAATGAAATATTATTCATCTGTTAAAAAAACTGACATCATTAAATTGGTATGCCATGTTGATATGTGATGTTTTGTTGATACTCATGGAAAATCTGCCCTGTCCTAAACAGAAAGGGAGGAGGAGTTGATTGGGGGTGGGAACAGAAAGTAGATGGGGGGTGAGGGATTGGGAGGTGAGGAGGGGGCAGAACTGTGGTTAGGATGTAAAATAAATTAATTAATTAATTAAAGAATCAAAAACAAACAAAAACCAAAATCAAAACAAGAAAAGAAAAAGGAAAGAGATTTGCAGGCAAATGTGTGGAACTAGAAAATATCATCCTGAGTGAGGTACCCAGAACCAGAACAGAAACATGATTGGGCCCTAGCCCAATTGTCATCAGAAAGGCTTCACCCAACAACTGATGGAAACAGATGCAGAGACTCACAGCCAAACATTAGGGCTAGCTTTGGGGAATCCTGAAGAGGAATGGGAGGAAGGGTTGTAGGAGCCAGAGGGGTCAAGAACATTACAAGAAAACCCACAGAATCAGTTAACCTGGGCTCATAGGAGTTCATTGAGATGGAAACGATATCCAGAGAGCCTGCATGGGACTGACCTAGGCCCTCTGCATATAGGTGGCAGTTGGGTAGCTCTTTCTTCTTGTGGGACTTGCCGAAGACAATTGTAAGAGCCATGCCATATTGCCTGCCTGAGTTAAGTTTCTGTTGTCTAGTATTGAGCCACTAACCAGAAACTTTTGACATGCCTGGACAAGTCCTGAGTTATTAGAAAATAACTTAACATTTCCTTATCTTTCTGCTACACTGACCATTAGTAACAATGTTTTGTGGTTGGGTTGCTTGGCAACTCAACAGTCCCCT